AATTTCACTTTGATAAGTTGAGAAATGTGAAGCAAACCACAGGTGAAGATGAAATGGAAATTACAGTTAATTGTCCAAATATAGTTCATTGTGACCACATTGTTCAACGTGCAATGGACCAGTACTGGTTTAACAAAACCAAGAAAAAGGCTTGGCACTTTGTCAGAACGACAGACATTTTGGATCATTTTCGATATACTGTGTCAAAGGTTGTGGATAGAGTTTCAAACAGTCCCTCAAAATTCCCTTTCATGGACGCATAAAATGTCATAAATGGAACATCAGAACACGCACTTGGACAATATCATATCATTCATATGTGATTATGAATTGCTCTAGTTATGTAAAGAGTGTTCTGTAATGTAGTTTAAAGGTATTTCAAACTGCTAGGACAGTAGGACATGACAACATATAGTATATTTACTTTGAGATCAGACAAAATTCTAATTTTTTTTTGTTAATATTTTGGGTTACCCAAAAAATTTCCTGCGGAAGGCCAAAAAATTTCCTGGCAGCATGCTGGCGTGCTACCGGACTTTTTCAAGCCCTGTAGTAAGTCCTGATGAAACTACTAGAACTTAGCCAGGGTTTTTTTCATAAAATTGCTCAAAAATAAGAAGTGGTAGAAACTCCTGTAATGCCTAGAAATCTATCAAACACTTATCAAACAAATTCTGCAAAACTGCACTAAACTGAAGATTTACATGGGAAAGTCCTTTTTGCAACCTGACCATTTTAAAAGTGTAAAATCTCAAAACAGACTAAGATTTCAGTTTCTGTGTTTGACTTCGATCAAATGTATAAGCTTAGTAAATGCCCTTACAAAGAATAAAGAATGTACCTATTTTAGAAAAGTCTATATTTCACATTCAGTGCAAGGTTACAGGAAGGAGCTGCTATTCATCTAATGACTGACTGACTGACTCGTTTGAATTTTCGCCACTCACCACAATATTTCACACAAGAAACTTTCCATTAAAAATGGGAATTGTATGTCATTGGTTCGCTGTTAATTCATGCAATTTTGAATAATTTTGAATCATTCTTGTAAACATGGGTTTATCGACGGAGCATAGTTACAAGGTAAATGTTTTGAAGATGCTGTAAGACATGTTTGTTATTTTTTCAAATCGAAAACCTTTTTAAGGATCTTGAGCAAGTCATTGGAACTAGTATAGCTATTATAATCTGTCCACTTGTGTTGTAGGGGATTCGCAGAGCAAAAAGCTGCCTTTAGATCTTGGTAGGGCAATATTGGAGTAATCAGGTTATTCTCAAAGTTAAGGAAAAAAAGTAAAATGTTCAAAGACTTTGATATACTGCCAAACAAGAAAACAAGCTGCTATCATATGGAGAACATTCAAGGTGGCATTGGGAAAAAGCATGTATGCTGGTGAAACCATGATGCCAAGAGACTGCATTGTTGAAATGTATCATGCTGGTACAGCAGAGTCTTCTAAGAAGCATATTCCGAAGTCTGTGTCCCTTTTTGCTGGCCATGTGAGGGTTCTTATTTGTACAATTGCATTTGACATGGGAATAGATTTAAAAAGTGCACACAAGGTGATTCTTGACCCTTCCTGACATTATGAATTTGTTGAAATTTTGCATAGTGAGCATGCATCTGATGTTTTAAATATCCTTTCAGAATTTTTTTGTGACATTGGAACAGAAGAATTTATGTCTGATTTAGATAACAGTGAATTCAGACTGGATGGATATTAGGCATGATTCCTCGGCAAATACGCCATTTTTTTAAGATGACTGATTTTTGGAAGTCAGCCATTCTAGAGAGAGCCCTTCAGAATTTCAGATGTGACAATTAACTAAAGATGATGGCAAAACTTCCTCAGGTGGGGTGTCAGCAAGTAAGGTCATCTGCATGCAGTCAAGTGTAGCAGCCACTGCTCTTGGCTTTAATTTCTATTATATAAAATTGCTTGCACACAGAAAAGTTTTTATTTAACTTCAGTTGATACATTTCTTCATTGATCAGCATACAATGTACACTTATCTGTGCACTGATATTGTAGAAATGGTAAAATCCAACCTGTGAAATACAGGAGCGATTATAGAATACCTGGCTACTTTTGCTACATTTATCTAGTAGTGGGATACCGGGATACGCAGTGAATAAAATGACGTAATTTGGTGTGATGTTAAAAAATTTTCATAAAGAGGACTGGGTTATATATATAATTTTTCAATGATACGGGGATACGCAGTGAATAAAATGACGTAATTTAGTGTGATGTTAAAAATTTTTCATAAAGAGGACTGGGTAACTATAATTTTTCAATGATACGGGGATACGCAGTGAATAAAATGACGTAATTTAGTGTGATGTTAAAAATTTTTCATAAAGAGGACTGGGTAACTATAACTTTTCAATGATACGGGGATATGGGGTACGCAGTGAATAAAATGACGTAATTTAGTGTGATGTTAAAAATTTTTCATAAAGAGGACTGGGTTATATATATAATTTTTCAATGATACAGGGATACGCAGTGAATAAAATGACGTAATTTAGAGTGATGTTAAAAATTTTCATAAAGAGGACTGGGTAACTATAATTTTTCAATTATACGGGGATACAGGGATACGCGTGAAAAAAATGACGTAATTTAGTGTGATGTTAAAAATTTTCATAAAGAGGACTGGGTAACTATAATTTTTCAATGATACGGGGATACGCAGTGAATAAAATGACGTAATTTAGTGTGATGTTAAAAATTTTCATAAAGAGGACTGGGTAACTATAATTTTTAAATGATACGAGGATACGCAGTGAATAAAATGACGTAATTTAGTGTGATGTTAAAAATTTTTCATAAAGAGGACTGGGTAAGTATTATTTTTCAATGATACGGGGGATACGCAGTGAAATAAGTGACACAATTTAGTGTTGTGTTAAAACGCCCTGAAACGTCAATTTATTTGGAAATCGGTATTGAAACAAATTACTTTTAAGAGTATATTTGATGAAAAAAGATATATTTATGATACATAGAACATAGTTTATAGTGTATTAAAGAACCTTAGAATGTGTTACTCATTTGGCTGCTCCTCGTTTAGCAAACCTTGGCGTATTAAAAGTTGTTTTATGTTCTGGGTTATGGCACTGTGGCATTGACGGCGGTCCTTCTCTTCGTACTGGTCTTGGGTGATAAATGAGTTTGATGGCCATACTTCAAATGTATCGGATGATTTCTTAACAAATATTGATGTTGGTTTAGGCACTCTTGCAACTCTTGCAGAGATCATTGTCCCATAAATGGGACAGAGCTGACGGAACGGCAGAATCATATTCTGTTTGCGTAACACTCCTTACGGCTTTCGGTGAAGCTGACTGCTTGAACGCTCGGTACGAGAGCACTGGACCAGGGAAGAACAACGCCGAAACTTTAGTTTGATATTGTGTCGGTTGCTTCCTTACTTGGTCGCAAGAATCTTCCGTTATTGATTTTACAAACTGAAAAATATAGCGAAAGGCTTTATATAGGATTGTTCAGTGTAATACATTTACATTCGGCTATTCGACAGTGCCATTGTATTTATTACGGAAGAAATATGAAGCAAATACATGCATGCATAGGGGCTTGTAATAATAGGCTTGAAACGTGCGAAAAATTGCAGCCTGTATTCAAGTTGTTTTAAATCCTAGCCAGGGTTGCTATTGCCCATGTAACATGATAAAATTAGCATAATAATATAATAACAATATATTGGCAAAGCAACTAAGTTGAGAAAATGGAACAAGGCGAGCAAAAATAAGTCGGAAAATATATCTTTTTACCTGGCAAAGGGCATCTTTTTGAAGCTTTAGATATTCCACGAAGTTGATGGCTCTCTCCAATGTCTGTTTGGGTATCATTGTAGGGCATTGTTGTAATGGTTGTCCATTTAGTAATGGGCTTGTGGCGTGGGTAAAAACATGGAGCGCCATGGCTATGCGGGGAACCAAATCGGACTTCTTGGATTTGGGCGGCATGACACCATCCAGTATCGCGGCATTTACATCGGCTGTGAAGGACGAATTCATTTGTTGGAGAAGTCGAATTGCTTCTGCCTCGAAGTTGTATTCTTGAGGAGTGTCCTGGTGATCTTGTTGTATCAATCCGAAGATTTCTTCGAAGTTGTCTATGGGTTCTGTGTTGATGTAGAGTGTCGCGTCAGTTTGCTGTTCAGGAGTAGGTCGAAGTGCCAATGGGATAGAAACGAGAAATCTGTCCATTAGCCCATGTCCTTGATCCATTCGTGCAACGAGTTTTGCAGCGTTCTGCATTTGAGTTGATCCAAGGATAGCAAATGGAGTATTTGCTTCTATCTCACGAGTCTGCTCTGTGCTGAAATGGTAGGTCGTTCTTTCTCCGGAGAAAAGTTTACATAGGAGTTGAACATCCCCACTCGCTGCTTCTTCATGGGATTTAAGCAGCTTGTGAAGTACGTCATATATCTCCGAGGAAACAACGTATGCCTTGCCAAATTTTTTGAGCTGTTTTACAAGGGCGGATGATGTAGCTCGTCCCATGAGAATGGTTTGTTCATGTTCGGTAATAGACAGGAGGGGCGTCGTAGCAGAATGGTCTATTGCTGCGGATTTCCCAGTGCCTGGGTAGCCAACAAACATTGTGAATAGATTTGGTACTTGGGGGTGCGTCCCGCAATGAATCGTTGCTCCGTTGTTGGCCAAAATGAACGCTGTTGTTGTGAGTGTACACGGGGCGAAGTATCCAATGGAGCTACCAAGCGAGATAGCTTTATTTTCAACAAATTCCCAAATTGTCCATTGCCCGTCGAATAGCAAATTTGTTAGTGTTATGTGTATACGATAGCTATTGACTGTATAACATTATCATCTAAAGACAAAAATAACTTGTTTGACAGGTAGGTGATTGATGAGGTAATTAAAGAAGCTTAGGCATATAGAAGGCGGGCGTTTTTAATATAGGTGACATGGTATTATCGTTATATTTCGTTTTCATGCAAACAGTAGAATGTATCGTAAAGTAGAAGTGACAGATGTCGGGGTTCAAGTTGTTGGACAGATAAAAAAGGCAAAAGAAATTCAAACGGAATTGTCATTCCTGCAATGTGAAAGTGTTGGAACGCAATTCAGTTCAGCTGAGGGGGAGGGAAGCTACCAGCGTAAAAATTGCGACAAAAATGGCTTCTGGACTTATGACAAACTGAAAGACGAAGTACTCTTAAGCAAGAATCGTGTGCTAAGCTGGCTTATGGAGAAGAGACTGATTGCGAACAGTAGGTTGTGTCCTCAATGTGATTGTGAGATGAAATTGGTTGAGTGCAATGATAGGTCAGATGGTTGTAAGTGGGAATGTAGAAAGCAGATGCATAGTAAAAGGCATAAGATCGAGTTGTCAATACGAAAAGGTAGTTGGTTTGAGAGAAGTAATTTAACGTTGGAAGAAATTTTAAAGTTGACATACTGGTGGTGTAGAGGCGTTGAACAGGAAGTGATGAGGTTTGAGGTTGATGTTAGTGGAAATACGGTCGCTGATTGGGATAGCTTTTGTAGGGAAATCTGTGAGGTGAATTATTTAGAGTGTAAGGAAAAAATTGGTGGTCCAAATAAAAGGGTGCAAATAGACGAAAGTAAATTTGGAAAACGCAAATATCACAGAGGTCATAGGGTAGAAGGGCAGTGGGTGTTTGGCGGTATAGAGGAGGATAGTCGGAAAAGTTTTATGTTTGCGGTTGATGACAGAAGTGAGAAGACGCTACTGCCAATCATCGAAACCTTCATAGAAAAGGGCACAACTATAATATCGGACTGCTGGAAAGCATATACAAATCTGGAGAAACATGGTTACAAGCATTTGCTTGTAAATCATTCAAAGGAATTTGTGAAGAAGGATGGTGACCACACCAACAAAATCGAAGGACATTGGCGTCAGGCGAAGGTAAAATTCCCAGCATTTGGCATACGCAAGTATATGTGTTCGTCATATTTAGCTGAGTTTCTGTGGCGATATGAATACAAAGGTGAAGACTTATTTGAGGTTTTCTTGAAGGATGCATTGAAAATATACAGCCAGTTTTAAAAGCGAAACAACGTTCGTAGTTTTTAAACGATGTAATTTGACCGGAAGCTAGTATATAGTGATATTTTGCATACTTTTATAAACACTATAAGCGTGTTTTCATTAAGAACGAGGAATTCAATATAGAATAGAATGTAATGCGTGTTTTTATTATATTATAGTAAAATAATGCGTATTTTTATTGAGAACGAGGAATGTGTAGTATATTGACATTTTACATGCTTTTATAAACACTAAAGTATAGACTATACTCTATAGTGTAAGCGTGCTTTTTTGAAAAGGAGGAATACTTTTTATTGAGAATGAGGAAAACAATGTAATATAGTGATATTATGCGTGTTTTTATTGTGAATATTAAGAACGTGGAAAACAATATAGTATAGTGATATTAAGTGTGTTTTTATTGAGAACGAGGAATACAATAGTGATATTGAGAATGAATTATGTCTGTGGTTTGAATGCATTGCATATCTTTATGGTGGGTTTTTGTAATAAGAACCAGGCGTTCATATCATAATACTTATGATGCGGTTTTTTTGAGAACTAGTCATTTATGATGCGGGTTTTTTAAGAACGCGCCATACATAATATAGCCATACATATCATATAGGGACATATAGTATTTATGCTGGTTTTTAAAAACGACATACACATACCTAGCGATGTTGTATTTATGATAATATATGATACAGGGTTTTTTAAGAATGAGGCATACAATGCGGGACAGTATTTATGCGGGTTTTTATAAACGAAATACACACGTACATAATATTTATAGTGCGGTTAAAAAACTTAAGAAAACAAAAACATATTACGTCATCTTACTCACTGCGTATCATTGTATCCCCGAATACTTTTTTAGTTAGTACACAGGAATGGATTTCGTTGAGAACAGCTTGCATCCCTTCATTTGTGTTTTCATTTTCAAAAATCATGCCCAGAAACATCTAAGAAGTTATGACATTGAAATTGATGTCTGATGAGTGTTTAAATGTATGTATCATAAAAAACACCACATTTGCAATTTAATATATGCAACACTTACACTTTCAGTTGGTTTAGCCATTTTACTTGAGTACATATGCTTGATGTGATGGCATTACATTTTCTCTACCACAATGCAAGAAACTAAACTGGCATAGTTTTCTCTTTGAGAAACATGTTCTGCACTGTCTGGTATATATTTGCCATTATCCATATCCAAAATAGTCTTTGTAGATATCTTTATGTGCTACCCAATGTTTGTCACTGTTCTGATGGGATTCTGACCATATGATGAACTTCTGCTTAAAATCAAAATTATCAAACACAATCTTCCTTCATAACCAAGGAGCAGCGTGGCAGCGTCTTCAAATAACTTAGCATCAAATGTGGTATTACAACTGCCAAAATAGACAAAATACTTCTCGATGTTGCGACCTCAGGGCCTTCGTCAGGAGAGTTAGTATGAGAATAAATAGGGGAGAATACATGTTTTGTATGGGGGCAAAACACATGATAAAAATGGGCCAATAGAAAACAAAAAATCAAAACAAATTGGAATACACTACATTGCCAAAGAGGCGCATGATTGTGGGCTAAGAATAGCCTGCAATGAGGGAAGCCTAATCAGCAACAAAACATAATTACCAACCAGCTTTGATGTAAACAAAGAAATGGTAGTCGTATTACTATGGGTAAAGTATAGCTTAAATGAAAGAGAGTCTTTCATTTATTGCCAGAGGGATGGAGAGTGCCAAGACTGTGGGTGAGTCGCATTTCTTGTCATTTACGGCTATCGTTAGTATCATTGTATCACAGACATAAAAATTAAAGCCCTCTGCCACATTTCCGGTACTAACGATAGCCGTAAACGAAAAGAAATGCGACTCATCCACAGTCTTGGCACTCTCCATCCCTCTGGCATAAATGAAAGACTCTCTTTCATTTAAGCTACTTCACCCATAGTAATATGACTACCATTTCTTTGTTTACATCAAAGCTGGTTGTAATATGTTTCGTTGCTGATCACGCTTCCCTCATTGCGGGCTATTCTCAGCCCACAATCAGGCGCCTCTTTGGCAATGTAATGTATTCCAATTTGTTTTGATTTTTTGTTTTCTACTGGCCCATTTTTATCATCATCACATGTTTTGCCCCCATACAAAACATGTATTCTCCCCTTTTTTTTTTTCATACTAACTCTCCTGACAAAGGCCCCCTTTTTTTTTCATACTAACTCTCCTGACAAAGGCCCCCTTTTTTTTTTCATACTAACTCTCGTGACAAAGGCCCTCAGGTCGAAATGTCGAGAAGGGTTTTGTCTATTTTGGCAGTTGTTATACCACATTTGACAATCTTCCTTCCATGATCAAACCTCATCAGCATCACCATCACCTGCCTCATTAACATTTGTGCACTTTCATTTCTCACCTCCATGATCTTTGCATTGTGGTCATGATCAAAACAGGTCCAATTTCTTATAGAGAAATGTATGGGACACAACAACCTGCAAAACTTTCAATCAACACAAAATTGCCTTAAATAAAATGTAAAATAAAAAAGAGTACTTAGAATGGACATCAAAATTTAGTGGTAAATCTTGGAAAAATCAGCCACATAACCATATTTTTCTCTACCTCACATTAATAATCAGTTATTCTTTGGCATATTTGCAAATTTGTAAGCAAAAACGTTTTGAGGAACATACTAACATATGCATTACTTATAACCATGTACATATTGTTATGTTTACCGGAGCTGCATACGGAGGCTGTTATGTCCTACAATTTAATATTGCTGTTGTCAGAATAGTAAATGAGAGTAGATAAACTGGAATATTAAAAATATTTATAACACACAACATTCTACTCAACTTGTAGTAGATAATGGCATACCATGAATCCTGAGTGCTGGATAAAAATTGTGTTGAGTAACTGTAAGACTGTCATATATGGTGATCTATTCTTCATGCAGATTGATGAGGCCATAGACACTGCTGGCATCCAATATAATTGGGTTCTTTCCAAGCTACTTTTGCAGATGCAAGCTGCCATAAAAACACTTCTCAGAAAAGATGTTCCCTCTTTAAGTTCTCCATCAAGTTTTATTAAGGAGAAGTTAACAATATCCTCTTTACCGGTTTTGCGCAAAATACATGGATTCTTTCTGGAACACATGGCCACACACTCTCAATCTATCTCCTTCAAAAATAGAATGATCATCTGTTCTCTGACCTTTTCACAGCGCCAGGCTGCTCAGGCAATTTGTGTGTATGTTCCTCTGCACAACATTTTACCCAAAAATTCTAGATTTTTCGGCAAAATTAAAGACGACGCTTTGCTTTTCCATTGCACTTTTATAGATACAGTAGTAATTTGGGCACTTGAAGCTTCAATATCTTCATGTTGCTGCCTGCTTTTTCACGGTATTGATGCAAAAGTTTGCTTGTTGATATTCTTGAGCTTCTTACAGTTTTGCCTTTGCTGCAGAGTTCTCAGGCACACATGGCACATATGCTGAGGGGTTGAGTGAATAACAAAAAAGGTCTTTAATCTCCTTACTTATTGTCGATTGCCCCTTTAACTAAATTCCGATCATACGGTTTTGTTATTACCGAGAAACACAGAATGCACAAAAGGGAAGCAGATGCCATGAATAATCACGCTAATTATAATATTTGCGCAAATCTTAACTTCTGAAAGTGTCCACATGACTGAACAAGGATTGATGCTCCAATGTGCAGACGCTTTTGTGTGTGTTCCATTGTAATTTGAATCATCTGTGAATGATCACTGTCATTTGGATTGTTAATAATAAAAACAGATTTTAGTTTGAATACTATTTTCATATTATTATTATCACCTACATTCATATTTTTTTGTTTTTAACATAAACATGAATGGTGGTCTGTTTCCTATCAAGATCGATGCTGACACTTATGTGGTTGTCCAGACCACGCTAAAGAGTTTGCATATCTTAAGCATGGTACAGAGTATATTTGGTAATTTTGAAAACGTATTGCGATTAATCGACATGGAAGATAAAGAGAGCATTATCCTAGGTGATTTTTACTGTGATATACTTGACACAAACTGTAGGGACCAAAACACGAACAAGCTTAATTTTATTAGAAGTATTTATCAATATTAGCAATTGATTGATGAACACGAACGAGCTTAATTTTATTAGAAGTATTTATCAATATTAGCAATTGATTGATGAACCTACAAGAGAAACTAACTACCTGAAAACTTTAATTCACCATTTCTTTTCCAATAAAAGGGAAAATATGTACTAGCAGGAGTTTCTAAAATAACTTTTTGTGACCACTATTTAATATTAAGCATAAAAAAGTTTACATCCTTGAAAGGCGAGGAGCATGTTACGACAGTATTCGTTAAAAAATATTTCATGTTTCAATATTTCGTTTATGACATTTTCGTCGATAACACTATGGTGGAAAAAACGTACCAAACTACTACCTTAATTGTTCACAACAACTAAAAAACATTGATACAGATACATTCGGTGGGCTTAACTCTGGGTTGATAGTGAATCTCGAATCAGAAGACAGGAACAAAAGAGGACTATCTGCTGAGAATAATGAAATCTCTGCAGCTGTGATAGTGTGGGTAGTTTTAATTACTGTAGACCTGGTCAAAGTAGTTGTATTCCCAAATGCACTCGTTGATGTAAGCGTGGCTGGCACATCCTTCGAAGTCATTTCATTATAATAGGTGTTCATATCATTCTTCGTGTCTGGGTCTTCAACTTGCGAATATACACATTCACGGGCTTCAGCAAACGCTAACTGTCCCTGCAACAGTAGTCTCTCAATTTTGTTCTCAAGATCTCGTTTCCTTTCCAGGGTTTCAGCTTTCGCACGTAATTCCACCACTTTAAGACTTTCTTTCATCCTTGAAGTCACATTAGAACCTTTTGAACTAGCTGAGTTAGACCGATCAGAACGCAAAGCTCGCGAGGGCGTTAAATACAATTCATCAAATGATTCTTCTACC